GTGTGTGTGTGTGTGTGTGTCCGTGTGGAGGGGCATGCAGGTGGGGTCCCACAGGGGTGACAGTCCATGAGCACTGCCCCAGGCTGGAGCTGGGAGGATGGGAGCCAGAGCAGCTCCACAGCCTGAATCGTAGGGCCTGGACCAGCAAGAGCCCAGAGAGCTGGGTCATTCTCGAGTGACCCTGGGCAAGGGGCTGCCTCTCAGGGCCTCAGTTTCCTCTTCTGTAATCGGGGCGTGGCGGGACGCCTCCCAGCCTTGGCCTCTCCAGAGACTGCCCAGTGCAGCCCCGGCCGGAGCCGCCGCTCAGCACCAAGCTCCTCCGGCCTCTGTCTCACCGACTTCACTGTGGTTATCTATTATGTCCGTCATCACAGCGGCTTCCACTCACCGACTATTTCTGCTTCCTCATCCCAGTAAGTAGCTCCCGGAGGCCTGGGTAGCCGTGCCCTTTACCGGCCCGGGCCGAGGAGGCCTCGCCTGTGTTTCACACTCATGTCAAACACACGCCCCGAAGCCTTCATGGCTGCTGAAGTCAGGCAAGGCCAGGCCTGTGCCCTGTGGGCCCTACGCTCCAGCAGGAAAAAAAGGCCACGAGGCTGAAAACTAGAATATCTGGCCCACCCGTGGTGACCAGTGCTCAGGGACAGGCAGGAGGTAGGGGAGAGAGCTTAGAGAGGGGGCCAGGAAGGCATCGCCAAGATGGTGACTGGGTCACAGCCCAAAGAGAGGGCGGTCATGAGGCAGATGCTGGAGGAACAGTGGTCAGGGTGGCTGGGGCCAGTGAAGGCGGGTGGGGGCAGGGGAGACTGCCGCCTTGAGAGCTGTAGGGACCACAGGACCTACCAGCTGGCCCGCTGGCGGGCACAGGGCTAACACCCACTGCGCGTGGAGTGATGATGAAGGTGGGGGTGCTGGTTTCTTCCTCTGCTCCGCGTTAAGGGGCAGAGGACAGCTCTAAGATTGGCTCCCGCCGCCCAGCAGTGCCAGGGCGGCCCTGGGCCTGGTCGGCGCTCCGGGGCCTGGGTGCTGAGCGAGGGCCCTGCAGAGAATCCAGCACCCCCCCCCCAGGCTCCCAGGCCCCCTGGATGTACCACAGGGAGCACCTACTACAGGTGGGGGGACCCAGTGACCCTTAGGAAGCAGGGCCGGAAGTGCTGAGCAGAAACTGGGGGTGACCACAAGGCCAACCCCAAAGCTGGTCCTCAGGGTGGCTGGCTCAACTGCCTCCAGCCGCCGGCCACAGGGGACCCTGCCCTGAGGCTGACCGGAAGAAGTGACATCACCTGACACGCCCCTGCCCAGGAGCCAGCCCCACCGCTCCTGCTCCTCCAGCCTCCCTGGGAATGGTCACCTCGGTCAGCACACCCTGGAGGCCCCACCACTGGGCTTCCACACCCTTCCC